CCGGCGGGTTTATCGAGCTCAGACTGACGGCGGCGGGGGCGGGGGCGGAGGCGGGGGCGCGGGCGGCGGCCGCCCAGAACCCATGCCGCCGCGGGCCGGGATTATCGGCCGTCGCTCGGCCGGTCTCTGTTCGCCACCGTCTGATGGCGTGTTGCTCAAGTGCAGAGCGGTGTACGCGCTAATGCGTCGCCAAAGGCCACCGAGCCGCCCGCGCCGCCGCCGCCGTCGCCGCGTACGACGCTAGTAGAGGCCGCGGAGACCGCTGGCGAGGGGTTGATAGGAAAGGCCCAGTGACTTATGGTGCGTCGAAACTCTTGACAAACGAACGACGGCCGACCCAGTCACCAGAGTGAACGCTGGCAAAACGTTTCCGCCAGTCCCGAACGACCGGAGAAACAATGGATTTTCTGAGAGGTGGCTCTCAAGCGTTAACTAGTTTGCGGTTCTAAAACGCAACGGTTTGGAAGTGAATGACGCTTACTTAAAATTCAGCGTCCGTTCCAGCCACCCGGGGGACAGTGGAAACCATCTTTTGTGCCGGAGAGAAAAGATTATTTCGCTTCCTCTGCTTTCATTCCTTATTAGTCAGAGTAAAAGCGTTGAACAAGCTGTATAAAAACACACACTTCAAAATCTATTTTGATGTTGAATCGTGAGTTGCGTGCATAATATTTCAGAAAAACTGAAAGCATTCATCAAGGTAGAAATGGTTATCAGGCCTCGTATTTCAAAGTACAATGAGAAATTACTTGTTCAGAGGATTTTAAAATATGATGATGCGAAACTTCAGAAATCACAAAGCATTATTGAGTACATTCTGTCATGAACATATAAAGGTATAGATTGAAATCGGGATAACAAATATCGACGTTGTCATCTTTTTGTCCTTCAACCAGCAATTATGTATTGCACTACACAAAACTTCCTTTTTCAAATGACCGCGATAGATTCCCCTTAAGATTCACAGTCGAGCCTAATGGCCGCCCCACACTGGACCTCGCATGCGGATTGCGGGTTTTGGGGTTTTCGGGTTTCTTCAAAATTAAATAATGTAATCTAAGCTGAGTGACCCACACTACCATCTAACAAGCGAGTCTGCATGTTTTTAGCTTGCGAGCCACCTTGCACCGCATTCCAAAAGTTGATTTTGAGTCAACTTTCGATTTTCCTCGCTGCGAGGTCTGCGAGTTCTGCGAGGCTTGCGGGTTTTTCGTTGGAGTCGAATTTTGGTTCGTTGCGGTGGTATCTATATTACTATTTGAGGAGGGTGCGTCTGTCCGTTACCGAGGTCCCGACTTGGTGGTGCTTTGCGTGGACTACAGGCCAGATCGTTGCACCTAGCCCGGTGACATTTGCACAACTTATAGATCAAGGATGCGCGACGTGCCTTTGAGGGGTCTCAGCTCGATCGGGTCGTTAGTGAGCGCGTGGCGCGTGCTCAAAAAGTGCAAATTCGCGTCATAGACTTTACATGTATAAATCGGCGTGCGAAATCGGGCGAAAACGGCTAATTTTGGCCGATTCGGGTCCAGTTCCCGTGCAATATCTTGGTGACCAGGGGTCCGACCGGCACGGGGAAAACAGCATCGTGTACAGAATTGAACGGGCTATTGAATGGTGTGCAATGCAGAGGATAGCACGCGCCACGTGCACCGGAGAGGGCACTTTTATTTGAAAAATTGCGGTTTTTGAGGGATTTTGGAATTAATTTTATTTTTAGGTGACCGTTAAATGGAGCGAGTTGAATCAACGCCTATTTGCAAGAGAAAGGTACCCCGCCTCTCATATAAAAATTGTGAAAAGCTGATTGATCCAAATCAAGGTGGTGCAAATCACAGGAGAAAATGGTGTTTGTCAATTTTGTGCCACTTTTTAAATCACACGGGGTTTGCTGCATAACCTGATACCTTTGGCAATTGAATATGGTACCATTGGAAAGAGCATTCAATTCTGTCCAATATTCACTCTTCATTTTTGCATGATAAGCAACAGTATCCTTAAAAATGTAAATGTTCCAAATCATTACATCGTCATTTTTAGCGAAATTTATCGATGGCCCTCAAAAGGCTTCACGCCAGTTTTCGAATCATTCTAAAGTAGAACGCATGATAATACGACACGGGCACCTCGATGCGATGCATCTTTTTTATTAAAAAATGCTTGGCCGTCGAAAAGCAATCGAACGAAATGGATACCAGCCAAATCGACACAGACCAACCCAATATCCACGGGTCAAAAACAACCCTTCTTCGCGTTGCGGAGCACGCGGGTAACCCTAGTTGCGACTATATACAATTTTCTGAAGATGTAGGCGGCTTCACTGCATTCATGATGTTACCATAAGGAAACGGTCTAATCACTCTATGAAATAGTACACTGAAAACAATTTCACCCGAAGCTGGCGAATTAAGTGTTGCTCTGCGGGTGGTATATTTGTATTAACTCGCCATGTCCAGATTCTAGCTAGAGGGTAAGCAGACTTGCCTGCCTTATTACTCGTAAATATGCACTGTACCCACAGTTTGCAGTAAGGTAGCTACCCAGCACCGGATATTGTCCCCGCGGGTGTCGAGTCATTGGCACAGCCCTCACAGAAAGAGTTGGAACTACTCGAGGCATCGTAAACGCGTATCCGTGGATGGCGAACCTTTACATAACCTGCCCTGAAGGAGTTGGATCTACTGTTACAACTAGATGGCGTTGTCTCATACAGTTTTGAATTACAACAATTTTTAAACTTTTTTTTGAACCAATGATATGTTGGCACATTGTTTGGCGGTTTCCAAGTGGGGACGAAAGTACAATTGTTAAGGTGCATCTTTAAAACCTCTGCAATGTTCATCACGGGACGATTGGCAAGGCTTTTTCTTCCGAAACTACCAAGTGAGACCATTTTTATTCTTATATAGGTCACGAAAGCAGCGGCGACACATCTTGATTTCGGGCGGTCTGCATGACTGCCGGTGACTGAGTCATGTCGAAATTTCTATGGGAATTCGATGTGACCTTTCCCACCGATGTGAAACATTCTCACCGATGTTTTCTAGGTGTGAGATTGCCATAATATAGATATTTTCCCGCAAATATGGTCAAGCGTGGGAGTTTTTTTGGCCCTCGTGACTTGGTCGGCGAAGGGTAGGCGTGGAGGGTAACCCCATCTCCTAGGGGTTTGTGGGGCGCTGCTGCCAGGTAGGCGTCGATGAATACCTTTCGATGGAGGGGTCGCGAGCCACTGGTGCGCGAATAGTCGTGGAGGGTTACTACTCTCCAGAGTGAATTGCGAAAGTGTTATGTCCTAAATTGACTCCTGGGAGGGTGGTTAAAAATGGTTGCGGATAGGGGTACCCGCGAGGCACCGGTTTACTCGCCAGTTTTGGGTGAAATTGTTTTCAGTGTATTATGCCCGCAAACTCAAAAACCGCAAACTCGCAACCCGCATGCGAGGTCCAGTGTGGGGCGGCCTTAAGACACTAAAAATGTCCTTCAGTTAGTCCATCCCATCGATAGCTAACATCGACGAGTCATCAGCGTTGCTGGTATTATAGTAAATCTTTAATCTATTCACTTGTCCTGATCCCATAATCGCAGTTCCATTCACCACACATTCGTTATCACGCTGGTAAGCAGCAGACAGCGGCTTACACCACAGCGGCGCCGTCAGAAGGGCGACTAATGAAGCCTGTCCCGGGATGACTGCCGTCGAGACAGTCCCGGAAATGAGGCGTCTCGATCACATCACGCCGAGAGCGATGACGGATGACGGCTGGCGCCGGAGGAACGCGATGACGTCCGCATCGCTGTCCGGCCAGCGGGACGTGCTGCCGTTTCGGAGCGACATTTTTACTGTTGTGCCTGGATGTCATTTCCGACTGACGCGTGGCGCTATCCATTCGGCTTTTCCGTTATTGGATGTGTGCATCCGGCCCTGAAGTTATGAGTTGACACTTCCGGGTGTGGCATCTGTGATTACTTTGCGGCTTCAACTTATCGCTGTGCCTTATCACCCAAAAAGAATTGTAGCGACTGTCACAAGGGGCAATAAGGCCTCCAAAATCGCTCAAATTATTGTTGACACAACCAAGCCAGCCACTTTCTGTCGCACGTGGCAATCAGTGGTTTAAAAAACAGGAATGCCTTAGTCTGAGGTCAACGGTCAATCAACAGCATTAGAAGATGTGTTTGCTTCAAGCTTGGTTTCCAATAAACGTTTTGTGGGCCTGAAGGCTTTAAAACAAGTTTTATAAAACATATTCCCAATTTATTGCCTAAACGTGCTAGTGAAATACAAGCAATATTCAGGAAGATCCGCATAATTCATGATGAAAACAGCTGAAACTCACAGTCCAACGCGCATATATGGCAATGACACCCGACACTTGGCCGGTAGCTACGGGACACCGTAACCACCGTCAAACCCCATTGCTGAGCTGTAACTGGGCGCTCGGGCTGCTCTCCCATCGGACACCAATCCTGGTAAATTATCACCGAATGTCGGCGTGGGCATCAGCACCAAGCTATAACGCCGAATGGGGAGTTACCAGGGCCCGATGGGGTCAGCCGGCAGACCAACTGCCTCTGAATGGCTTCAGTGGAAGGCAGGGGGGACTAACGGCACCGATGACATCGGTCGATGACGTCCAATAAAACCGGCATCAGCTGATAATGACCTCCAAATGTTACCGATTGTTCCATCATCGCTTTTCGGCGAAAAGTTATCGCTCAGATTGTATCCGTGTGGTAATAACATTAGTGTTCATGTGCTATTCGTTTTTGGATGAGTTGCGACGAAATGTGAATACAAATTGATGACAAAATTGGGAACATTTGGTTAGCATAACATTATTATTGTTAAGATACTAATTTGTGTATGTACCAGGCCAACGTCCTCCTTAAATGCGACAATTGTGCCTCCAATAAGTGTGCACATAAAATAGACATCGCTATAATAAGCAGATAAAGAACACACAGTGTCCGTGCTGAGCCCGTGATATTTTACTTACGGTCCTTGTTGACCAGTTTGCAGATGGGGTCGTGCGCTGACCACTGCCCGTCTGCCTGGCAGGTGCGGGTGGTGGGTCCCACCAACCGGTACCCCTGCCGAGGAGGTCAGTAGAGGTCAGTAGAGGTCAGTAGAGGTCAGTTAAGAGGTCAGCCTGACTACCACCCGTCTGCCTGGGTGTATGGGTGGTGGGTCCCACGTACATTTGTTGACCCCCCCCCCCCATTCATTTTCTCTCCATTTGTTTTTAATTAATCGGACCTCTCTCCAACGGGCTCTTGTCCCAATTATAGGAGAGAGCACCTGCTCCTCCCGCCGTCCTATCTCCCCCCCCCCCAGGCTGCGGCTGAAGTGGGAGCCTACCCCACACCTGACGCAGCCGGGGACGACGACGCCCGCACCGCGGGTCGACGCTTTAACCGACTGCGCCGCCAGGGCCACATTTTCGAGTTTTACGCGCACCCCCAGTCAGAATAGCTCGATTTATACCGATCATCGTCATATAGGCAGTTACTAGCCACCAGCAAATGATCAATATGCATCGGCTCTCTGGGGAAGGCTCTCATATCCTCTCCCAAGAGGGCATGTCGCACTCACCTCTGGTGTCAATTTACGTGTTGCCAAGACCATTCGTGGGAATACGGGCCCAAGACCATTCGTGGGAATACGGGCCCACAGGTCTACGTGTGCCCCCAAGAGACCCACGTAATGCGAATACATGCCAGACAACAACACCGGGAAGACAAAGAAGAGACGTGGTGGGATGGTGAGCGACGGGGTGGGACAAGAAGACGACGCCACGACGGGACAGTGCTGGGACAGGGGCGGGACTAGTCAGGGACAGTGCTGGGACAGGTCCCGGACAGAGCTGGGGACGAGCTGAGGCGCGGGGTGAGGTATAGGACGGGACTGTGTGGAACGGGACCGATTGTTCTTTCACGTGAAAGAAATGCTGAAAGAAATGCAAATAGATCACTACATCGGAGCATCAATGAAAGCACTCGCACCACTGCTGTCAGTCTGGTATGCCTGTGCCAGTGTGCAGTGTCCAGTGTTCAACGTGTGAATAAAAGGTCAAAGGGAAGCATCGCCATGAGAGAGAGAGAGAAAATGCCCCTGATATTATTCCTGCTTTTGAACTGGAAAACCTCGCTCCTTCATTGCACAATTTTTTTCAGTAACCCGCTCGGAAAATATATCATTATCTTCCACCCGGAGTCATTAACTCATTAACGCCGAGTGGCAACTATAGTTGCCATCTACAAAAACCTACTGCTGAAGGCAAGTTAATGACGTCAGAACAGCATTTGTGGGATGCCTAATCAGCATAGTCCCTTCTCATCATGATCAGACGGTTTTAGTCACGTCCTGTGCGCAACATGCTTCACAAATCAAGAAATAGTCAGACGTTGCAGAGACGGCCGCCATATTGGCTTGACGGTCCCGAAGAAAACGACGCTGTTTTTCCAGAGTGTCCGGTATTTCCGAGCATTTTCGGCTTATTTTGATCCAGAAAGGATGTAGGCAGGCTACCAGTGTCTCAAAACTTGAAAGCACTCTACTCATTTGTAGTTATTTGTACTAGATTTGTACTTGGCAACTATAGTTGCCACTCGGCGTTGGCGTAGTCAAAAATATGAGCGGTTCATAGTTAAATAGTTGTATTTACGGATATACTGTAACGAAACATATGTTATTCAACCAGACTGTCCCCGTGTATACCTTGGGACATAGTTACATGGACTTTTGCAAATAAATTAACAATTAAGGCAGAAATTAATTAAAAAATACATGCATGTCTATACATTACCATAGTGAACCCTACCCCCATCCATTGTTTTCTTGGTCTATTCTCGACATTGTTAAATCTGTTTATGTTTATCATCTACTGAAGATATTTTTGTGGAATGGGATGCAATCTCGCTTTCTCTTTCCTCTCTCCCTCTCTCTCTCTCTCTCTCTCTCTCTCTCTCTCTCTCTCTCTCTCTCGCTCTCTTTCCCTGTTCCTCCACTGGCGGATGCAGGAAACATTACGGACATTCATAGCTCACAGAGTCCGACTTGCCCGATTTTGTTTCGTTTTCTTTGTAAAGAAAGAGAACTAAAACGGCATTTATACGATAAAGATTGCCTACGATTGCACAGTAATGCATTTATAACAAACCGAAATCCGAGAAGTTTAGGTACGAGAATTTTCAAACCCTGCTGCGTGTGATATCACCTATCACCTTTCTGGATAAACCAGAGTCGCTCTCGCTTTCTATGTCGAAGACTATGCTTTGCTGGTTTTTCCTAGCGTTCGTTAGTCGCGCCACTTGCAGTATGCATAACCAAACTCAGGCATGCTCATCTGCAGGCACCGTGCCATGATGCTAAATCGTGTGACCAGCTCGTGTTTCAATTTGGAGGGGCACGTAGGTATAAGCCTATATTTGCATCAACAAATTAAGTTTTTAGCATCGTAAAGACGCTGTATGACGTTTACAAACAGGGACCCATAAACGAAAGCTCCCCCACCTCCTCCGCTGAGCTCCCATTGACGCCGATTATGACCTTGACACAGTCGTGATACCGAATTGATTCCGATGAAGCTGCTTGCTATCTGAACTTTCACAGCAGATGCTGGTGATTCAGCTGAATGAGACGGTGGAGGCGGCTTTGTGCTTTGGGTTTCGTGCGAGGATAACAGCACACGAAACTTTAGGTTACGATCACGTAGCTGATGTTGTCTCATGGGACTGAATGAAAATTGTGAACCAAAGGCGAGACATCGCCTGACTTGGGGCAGTGCTGATTCCTGGCACTGCCAGCTGGAAACGAGGAAATGGGGATTCAGGTGGTAGAAAATATGTGGGCCTGCTCAGTTGTCCTAAACTAGATGAAATTGAACTATATTTTTATGACACGTGGAATGTGTTCAAGTGCAAGTAGTGGTGGTCGCCTTGTACTTACACCACTTTTACTCGTCAATCAACATATCCCCCTTCTTATTCTGAAGTACAACCGCCAGTGTGTGCTCGAGTCGTGATCACGAAAGGGATCCAATTTGTCCAGACTCTCGTCCGAACAGTCTAAAAAACATTCGAAGGCGAACGGATTTACTGGTTAGGTAAGGACAGCAGAAGTACGTACGTATGCGGGAATCAGAAATATACTATACAATTCCATGGCTCCGGTAGGCCTGTAATCAGCGTGCTCGCAAATAGGCATGAATAATCGAGTTGCTTTGTACCCCGAGTTTTTACAAATGTATCATACCCGGTAGAAAGTTTTGTGATAGGACGGTATACCTGCCATCAACCATGTACGAGTAAATAGGGATCTGGTGAGAACTACGTATGAGATAATATGCATTCTTTGTTGAATTGTTTTCGAGCAGATTTTATTTATGCATGTCAAGATAAATGGTTAAAAAGGACTGGTAAAGAGCATCTGCTTTGGTACAGAAAAACACTTATTGATGGATAAATGAACTGTGTTTCCTGGATACCAAGGACTGCAGCTGCTTTGGGCACAGGCTACAGGCTTATACCATAGGGCATAGTGTAGATTCCACTACTTAGACGTAATTATCTTATTAAAAATTTATATTGAAGTGGCGTAACCACTTTTTTCTGTTTGGAAATTGGATTAAGGCTCGTGGGGGATAAGTTGGGACATAAATAGATTCAATGCATCCCGGCGATTAGTATTTGTTTAATGAAAAGTTACGATAGCGGCAATTTTTGACTACGCCAACGCCGAGTGGCAACTATAGTTGCCAGTCCAGAAATATATGTTAAAAATATTTCTATTTTTCAATACACCGTATGTGCATTTCTAGTGCATGTAGAAGCACAGGGCATCAAGAAAAACTGCCGAAATTTGCCCACGGAATTATCGTCGTTAATGAGTTGAATCCTCTATATCTTTACTTTCATAATTCCTTTCAAGAATGCCGTAAATGTCATACGTATATCGGCTGAGGAATGGCATATCAACATCAGGGAGTGTAAAAAAATGGAACGAGCCTAGTATTTTTCGTACCTCCCTGCAGGCGTATCGCGCTGTTGATGCGTAAAGACGGCCATTCAGTCTCATTCGGCCATAGTCGGGCGGCTTTAGCTTTGGACACTCTTTGTCTGTGGAAAAAAGTAGTCACTCGTCAATAGGTATTCGACCCTGCCGAGGGAGAAAAATACCCGACGTAGAAAGATTATCATCTAGTTTGAACGCCACATGTAATCCTTTGTTGCTGGTTGTAAAATTGGGGATATTTCCGGAAGGAACATCCGGGCAAATACTGAAGGAACGTGAATTCGTGTTGCTGCTTCCATCGACAACAGCATTATCAAGAACGATGTTTTTATCAGAACACTGGTTAGTTTGTGGCTTGTGCTTAGTCAATGCACCGTTTTCTCGTTTTGGTTGACAAAACAGAAAGCCTTCGGCATAACACTCTATAAATCATAGTTAAGTTTTAGGTAGGTATACCGAGTGCTTACCTTGCTTAACACACGACATGCCACAGGCACCATCACAGACACACTTTCTGTTTCGGCTCCGACAATCATTGTCTGAGTCGCACCGCTTCATACACACTTGACCCTGAAGAGCACAAAAGTCAGCTGGAAAAGGTTATAGAACCAATAGGTTAATGCGTCATCCGCATATGCTTCTTAGGTAGGGACACCATGCATTCACTTCTACACTGTAAAATGTTTACTAATTTCCTAGCTATCCGGACACTTTTCACTAACAAAATGTGAGAACTCACATTTTGTTAGTGGAAAGTGGCCGGATAACTAGGAAATTAGTAAATATTATTTTTTACAGTGTAGTCAATGTAAAAATGGCGATCCGAATTCTAGCTATTCTCTTGATAACTGAAAATGCTGAGTTATTGACATCTTCATTTAATGAGGGAGTCTGTAGTTTCCGTCCAGGAAGCTCGTTACTTTGACACCTGATCCACACGCTGCCTCGTTAAAATGTCTGTCGGCGACTTTGCGTCATGAGACTGCCCTGAGCGCTGGGTGGTTAGACCACTCATTAGTGCGAGCTCTGAGAGACAGTAATGACAGCATGTCACATTCCGGAGTCTGAACCTATGTAGTGACAGGCCAGAGCAACACATGACAGCTTGCATAACATAGCAAGCCAGCCTAAATAGATGGAAAAGTACGCTCAGTTGTCCTTGTTCGCTAGTAGCGAACAAGGACAACTGAGCGTACTTTTCCATCTATTTAGGCTGGCCGCTAGGACAAGTAGGCCTCGAATACATCTTTTGGAAGCTACTATTTCTTCGTAAGAAATATCATATCAGAAAGTAGACATTTCTAAGCTCTGTAACATCCAACGTGAATAACGCTGGCTGACCTGAAATTTGACGGCGTCCTCGTCCCTGGGACAGTCGCCGTCCGTGTCCGGAAACACGTAGTTGTCGTCGACGTCGATGCCCGTCGCGGGCCGCGCCGTCGACGTCGATGCCAGCTTTGGCACCGTCTCTATGTACGTCTGATTTGGCTTGGGGCCCCAGCCCTCTGAAACAAAGACAACGCGGTCACAGACATGGCCAGACGGCGCCAGAGTCGAGTCCAGCCAGACGGCCTGGCACGGAGGCTGCTGCAGTGATTGATTGACCCGCTGTTTTGTAACTTCCCTACCCTTTTTAATCATACGTAACTTTCTCTATTAATGATGAGGAAATCCGGAACACGAACAAGAACAGGAATCAGGACAGGACACTAAGGATTTTGCAAACCAACAAAACATCCTTGCTGTGTTGATGCTTTCTGTGAAAAAGCTAAAACCATGTAGCGTCAGGAGTTACGAAACGACAAAGAAATGACCTATGAATAATGCCGCTATATAGCTGGGATGGTCCGCAGTCCTATAATAGCCTTCCATTGTTCTGGAATACGACCGTGGTCATAGTCCGAAGTTCATCGACAGTCACGGGGTGTTTCACTTCACGGAAGTTCTGATTCACCGGACAGTGACGGGTGCTGCCGCACGGATGACAGACGGTTAAACACTGAGCTGCGCACTATCGATTTGAGCTGTTTGACAACGCGGAATATTTTCGGACGATTAGTTGCTGTATGACTCAGTGACTGTGTGGTAATTTTTGGTTGTTTTGATCTAGGTAGGATGATAATTTGGTAGTAAGTGTGTAATGGAATGATAGCATACGTCCAGCACAACAATATAGTGCAAAAAGCTGATGTATACCTCTGTTGAAAAACTGTTCTATTAGATTAAAAAAAAAAAACTTCCTGGCTAGAATTTCACTCAGCATATGATATCTTTGGGTAAGAAGCAGGAAATGACTTGATAATGTCTTGATTTGATTTCGTTTGTTTTCTGAAAACAAATTGAACTAGGATGAGTTAAAGTCAAACATCACTAAAAAAAACATGGAGATTTTTGGAGAACTTATACCAGTAGAACAATCTAACTAAGCCCAGGCAACGTCTTACAAATGCCACTGCATTGATGGGTCTGGCTTTGTGATATGCGTCATTATCCGCCCACACTGACATAAAAACCTCCACTATTTTCTGCTGGAAGAAAATAATATCTGGCTCAATGCGTTGCTATCATGGGCCCGGCTTTTGTGTCTAATGAATCTGCCCTCTCGAGTTGGTGTTTTGGTAAGAATACCGCGCGGCAGTATGATCTCATAAGCCCTCCGGCTCAGTTGAAGATAGAACTCCGCCAGGCACGGTTTCCGGCGTCGCGCCGTTGCCTGGCAACCGGCGAGTTTTGGCGCTCGCAACCAGCTGTCTGCAACCATTTGCCAAAAGATCCTGCCGTTTTTGTTCTGACAACGCTCGTTTCCGCGCAGTGTGAATACACCTTAGTTTCTCATTCAAATGCAAATGGGGCCTGGAGCAATTCGGTGCGCATATGCAAACAATGTTCACTGGGCTGATGACATCCCTGTAGGATGTTTAGCTTGTTTACAACCACTTAGTGCAGAAACCATTTTCAAGAGGTAGCTGATCAAGTTGATGTTTCGCTAAAGGCTTTGGGATAAGATTAAAGTATGCATGAAATTCTGGTGAATCATTTCTTCTTGAGCCTGCAGCATCTTGTCTCAAAAGCCAAGAACGAAACAGGCCTAATCAGATGGTAGATGTTCCATACCATAATATTCAATAGAAATTGCAATGCAATACACATCGGTAAGGCGCATCTGTCATCTCTTATATCCTGTGTTGACTACGATTGGTGTTCTGAGTTGTTAACGGTTGGTATATCGGGTGAGAGCCGTCAGGTGCCGTCCGGTGATTGCAGTGGTCCCCGGGGCGACATCCAGCCAGTCAATCGAATGACACTGACCAGACTGAAATTCAGAACCACCCAAATGCGGATCACGGGCCGATGACACCGAAATCAGTGAGAGAGACAATAGTATGCAAGCGTGCCTGTGCTCAGTCGCGATAAAAGGCACGAATTTGAATGCATTATGCATATTTCCCACTATGATATGTTTGCATGCAGTATCCTACAGCATTTATTCAGGTGCTGCATCGGCCTGTTTCATGTTCGTACTGCTTTCTGAGGATCTTTGTTGAGTTTTGATGTAATTTGGCCTGATTGTTTGGGTGAGTTTAATCTATTGCTTTCTTTCTGGTTGCGTGTTTACGATTGTATATCTAATTAATTGTTATGCGAGTACGGTAAGTTATCGCAATGACAAGTAGATATCTTCAGCAATAAAGATAAAGATTTATGACAAAAGTAATCATTTGTTTATTACAACTACCCTCACACAAAGGAAAACTTTTGCAACAGCCCAGATCTAATAGGAATAGAATGAATTGTTTCGTCTTCGAGTGGAGAACACTTGCCCGACAGACGTCAGGGAAGTGAAATAGCAGTGTAACACAAAGCACCATTACATATGCCCGGAATATGTGGCTCGTTTTGGGTGCAATCACCAGCATTTTATCGAGGCCAATTGGCTTGCCTGGCCGTCTGCTGTGGGTTGACATAGCTCTACAATCTACATGCAGCCGAAATGTGTGCGGAGAGCGCCTGAGGGCAGCTTCAAATCAGATTGTCCGTCGCGCTGCCTTCTTCTGTGGCTCATATTGCCCGCTGGGCGGCGGCTGTGGCTGTGGTGTGTAGTGTGTGTCTGAGATTGGGTGTCGTGTCGCTGTCTATGGCTCGTATATCGCACGGCTGTCTAGCTAGGGTTGTCTGAGGTCTGAGGTTGTCACCCTGCTGTCTGCTCCCTAGTGATATGTGACCGGAACTGTCTGTGATTGTCTGTCGTCGATAAGATTGTCTACCGCGCTGCTGTCTGTCTGTCGGTGTCTGTGATTTTCTGTCTATCTGTTTGTTTCCCTGTCCACCAAATGACGTGTGAGGGGCGGGATTGGTCGACGGAGGGCCGGTCACGACCGGGCGGTACATATTGACGGATGGCGCCGGAAGTGACCCAGCTGCCGCCGCTCTCACGGTCTGTCCGTCCGACAGACGCCAGGGTCAACCGGCGACACCGGACACCGCGGGCGCACGGCGCACGGCGCGGTAATGTGATAGCCAGAGACAAATGACGGAAACGACGAGCTGAGCTGTGAGACTTGAGAGGAGGGAATATTAATATGAATGTTGGCTCATGGCTGCATCTCTTTTCCTTATGTTATACGTTTTATTGATGTTTTTCCTTGGCTTTTGCTTTTATCTTTTACTTCTAAGCTCTATCAAAACTGGCGACATTAAAAAATTGAAGCACGTAAATCCATTTGAAGCATGTTCAAATGTTTTAAAAGTTGTTCAACACATTCCACGACAACCGGACTGCAATTTATCTTCCTGTGCGCTAACCGCCTGCAGCTTTTCTCACCGAAGTCTATCTGAGAGTAATCGGTCCACATATTTCACTGGAGGCGCGCCTCCACAGCCGGTCTGTGCTCAACTATCAGCGATTGTATGCTGCCAGCGCCGACAGGCCCACAACGTATTGGCACTGGCAGAGCTGCCCGCCGGCGGCGACGGCCTGCGTGATTGGCACAGACAGACGAGGATTGGAGTACGGGATACAGAAACGGGGACAAGGGATGCGGGAGCGACAAATGGGGCAAAGCGGCGGGGACGGATACGGAAACTCAAAGTTGAAAGGAAATTGGCTAGGAATGCGAAAGGGATGCGGAGGAGACACTTGGAAACGGAAGTTGGCAAGGGATGGGAAGGGATACGGGACGCGGAAACATGAAATGGGATATGGGAACAGGATACAGAACCGCGATGAAAGAATGGGATTCGGAAACAGCATAGGACGGGATACGGGAACAAGATGCGGCACCGGGATACGGAAGTGGGATACGGAACGGGGCAGAGCCAGAAGGTATGCGTAAAATAAATGAATAGCGTCGGAAATAAGCGTCGAATTAGATATAATTGCATGATAACATACAAAAAGTCATAACGAAAGAGTGAGTAGAACCGATGCATTTAAGAGATGAGGAAAACAAAACATGCAATTATGAATGGTAAAGGAATGTTGGAGTGGGATTAGGAATACTCTAGCTAAAACAAGGCACAAACGCATGCAGGAGGAGATTATGAAGCATGTGGAAACATGACGGACATCTATATTCGTAGCCAATGCCGGCTAAGAGGACGGTAAGACCCTACTGAATCATGAAATAGGATGTGGGGAGAGAGCTAGATCGCGCTGTGGTCAAAGGTCGAGGGTGGATTCTCCGCCAAGCCATGAAGTACTGGTGGATCGATGTCCCCGAGACAGCAGAACGGATAAATCCTGGACAGCAAATTTCCGCCACCGGCGCGGCGCGGGCGACCAGGTCAGTGGGGACACCGGGTGGCCGCGCTGTCAGCCCCACGCTCCACTTGTGCCGAGGTGACTGCAGCCGGCGAGGGCAGCTGGTCGCCGTGCCGCCCCGTGGCAAGAGTCGCGACCTTTGAGTTATGATGCTGGCGGCCAGCTGTCAGGCGGAGATAGAGATGCCGGTGGGCGGACGGCCGATTGCTGACACCAGAGGGGCGGTGCCGACATGGTGCGGCAAAGATGTCCGTCAAGACAGCCCATATTCAGCCCAGATTCAGCCCGGATTCAGCCCAGATTCGGGACACCTCCGATCAAGCTGAAACTCGCACACAATGTAGGCCATGACATGCCCAATCCACAGTCCAAGTCATTCGGTGGCACTCCCAGCCGTTTGACCTACAGAGGTCAGCAAAGGTCACGTGGCCCAAATTTGCACAGCAGATTGTGGCCCACCCAGTAGAGCTAGAGCGCTAAAAATGGCACCAATCGACTCGCCAGCATCTAATCTTACTTTCCCAACACTCATTTGACCTCTCAAGGTCATGCGATGACCTAAGGTCATTTGTGGGCTATGTCGAAAATACACTTGCACAGCAGTTTTCGAGTAGATGGATTGACCGAATTCCAAATCAAAGCACATCATCGGGTAGCCCATAGGCCGTAGTAACTTGCCTTAAAAACCACTTTTCGATATGTGACCCCGTTTGACCTCGGCAGGTCAAAATGTGCAAATAAACG